GTTCATGCCTTTTCTGACTTTTCTTTCCCATATTGGATCAGTGACGCGCGAATTCATAGATCCAATAAAAATCAAGATTGTTTGATCAAACGGTTCTGTTAATATGAAGCAACTGGTTACATGCCACATTATATACAAACCTTTTTGAGGTATCTAGGTTAGGACAATGGTTAATCTACTTCCAAATCGAAATATGGCAGCCCTCGAATGTGTGAAAATACACCTTACAGACCATATGCGAGTGGATGGTCAGATATTTGATAAATGATAATTGGTGAACTCCTAAAGAGCAAGGACAGAGCAAGGACTATACAAACGCGTTTAACTCTGTTGACAAAAGCATCCGATTGTCATTGTTACGGCAACATAATCTCCCGCCACATCTTTTGAATTGAATGCACGACTACTTTATCGACCGTCGCCAATTCCCTTGTCTCAATGGTATCAGGTCTCCCACTGTTACTGCAAACCAGAGAGTAATGCGTGGTGGAAATTTATCTCCTTTTCTGTTCTCCTTTTACTTTCAAAACTTGCAAGTCACCCCAGATGTTTTCACTTTTAAATATACCGATGACATACATAGTAGTTGGTGGTGCATCTCACAACAGCAACTCTTAAAGGCACCCTGTTCAAGCCATAAGTTCCATTTCTGAATGGTCAGATGGTGTTCAACCCCGAACAAAGGCACTAAAGTTTTTGTTTTCCATTAACCGTAAGCCATCAACGCTTTGTAAATCATCTGTTTCCAACATCTGACTTAATAGCTTAAAAGTTGAAGGGTCATGACACTTCAAATGTCGTGGATATTTCCTGTTTGTTGACCTCAAATGGTCCTATCACGTAGAACAAACATTTCTTAGAGTCAGACAGTAGACCTTTTATACTTCACGCCTTCGGCATACGAAGGCAGAATTTAAAATCATTTTTTAATTCATTTCTCGTGTGTTTTATGCCATTCGATCTACTGTTCGCTGGGTTCGCTGTCTGTAAAGCATCTCTAGATATGAAGCTGGTTGATTTCATTTTGAACCAACACCTGAAGGTGTGTGACCATCTGTGTGACTCTATCTTGTCCGATGCATCACATCCTTTACACATAGCCCTTTTTAGAACCATTTCAACCTTTGCCACCGGCAATAAATTCAATCCTTTATATACCCTTACCCCCGCTTTTCACAACTCCGTTGTACCTTACCTTTCACGTTTGTTGGTTTCCAGGGAATGAATATCAAACGAAATTGTACACAATCTAATGTAAATTTTCACGCTGAACTTTTCTTCACTTTCACGCGTTCTCCGTGTTCCCTTCATTATCATCTAAGTAACTATTTGTCATATCTATAAACTCATTTTTAATAGCGTGTGTGACAAAGCAAAAGTCATGGCAATCTTTTCACTGGAAATTGTGTCCACATTGAACCAATAAAGTGTACGCGTGACTTGACTTGACCTGACTAAAAGACTTAACCAATGGAAGGGGACGATGAGAGATCATCATAGAACTAACTATAGTGCGGTTGAATCCATACTAAGTGAATGGCTTGTGTTTACAGGCACGTACATCATCTGCGACTGGAAAAACTAAGCACTCGCTTTCTTTGTGTAAGAAATCGATAACCCGAAAGAGCGGGGACTAAAAGGAGTACAACTCGGAGCAGACAATAGGATGAAGGAACAGTAGATCATTCTGAGTAACGGAACGAACATGATGCATATTCTTAAACTGTATTCATTAACCCCGGACTGTAGTTGCATCCCCTAATCTAAACTGCAGTTCTCGTTAAGTGAACCCGGAAGCGTTCACATTTTTCTTGTATCGCATTTTGTTAGTTATGTCATTTCTCGTAATTGCAAAACAATATCACGTTTATGTTCAATTCACGATTTTTACTTGAAACAGTTGCGTATTTAAGATACGTCTCCCGTTGTGTTATCGTCATGCTATACGATGGATTAGTCGATCGTGACGCTTTAATAACATCACCATAACATAGAAATGGATGATCAGACAAGCACGTATCGTTTCACCAGCGCGGAACATTGATACAAAAATTGAATGTGCACACCAAGGTGATGAGTTAAAAGAAGTTGCCAAAAACTTGGGCATTAAGATCCAAACATATAGTGCTATTGCAGCCATCAAACGGGAAATAGCACTCCAACGTAGATCTCATCAGGCAAAGTTCAAAGACGAGTTCACAAAACATTTGTGTTGTGGTTTCGACGAGAACTCAACAAAGAAGATGATAAAGAACGACGTCCCAGATAGATCAATCAGTAAGACTTCGAGTGATCGATTACTGGGTGGGCATCAGTATTTGGTCAAGAAATTGACTATTTCATTTTGCGGCACGAAACTCGAAAACTGTCGAGTTGAAATGTGTGTGGCATATGCCTATAGATTATAGGGATCTGATTACTTAATGCCGTGGCTGTACATTGATGATACCAACTACAGTATATGATGCTATCACACGTATGGACTGCAAAACCGTCCGAAGCTGGTTCACCGGAAACGCTGAAGCCGTACGAAGCGTGCCGAGTATTTTCCAATCAACTTCCGGTGCAGTATTTGATACTGTTTGGTTGGTCCACAGCAAAGCATGTAATAAGTGCAACTTCTCATTTGTTAACCAAAATTTTGAACATCAATATTTGAAGAAAATAAAATTTTAGATATCCANGATATCCACTGATCTCAGAATATTCAGATAGGTTTGATCTCGCAGTGACATGTCCAAGGTTTATGTGTTGTGGCTATAGAACTACGGATTGTGACTTGATCATTTCGGGTAATGGTTAAACGATTGTGGGTTTTTTTGTTTAAAGCTCGATGGGAAAAGGTGTAGAAGTTCATTTTCAGTTCCGTATAAGAGTGTTGAACTGTAAAACATACAGTGCTGCCGTAGCTATTGACGCTCCAAAGTGGGCTGTAAAGTCGTTCGAAGTCTCTCATTCGGCAGACGACCTGACTTGAACATAATAGTATGTCTGCCAAAGGCATACTGAAATGCGAGTGCCACAAAAAAGGAGTACATTGCATGTTTTCAATAGGTGTCTGTCAAACTGTTCTACGTTAATCGCTACTGAGCAATCGGGTGTTCCAATTGTTTCTTTTTCCTTGAATAAGAAGCCCGTAATTATATGCAGTTACATGCCAACCATCAAATTCGATTTATTCCATCATATAGTCCATGATTTTCACAAACCGGAAGAGGCCTTCAGTGAACAGAAACAGGTAAGCGGTAATAATTCTTCAACAGACATGATGTAACATTCCTCACCACACTGGGTCTACACAATTTAGTACTTTTCCTACCAGACTGAATTCACAGCTTGATTTCGTTTTCACAAACAGACCACAATTTTTTAAAGTCCAGAAACGCGCTCCCCTGAGCAGTTCAGACCATTGCATCTTAGAAGTATGTCCCACTGTATACAGCAAAACCAACCGATACACGTTTTTATGAGTCAAAGAAACTGTTCATCAGAGAACCTAGAAAAGCTAAGATCCATGATTGCCGCCACTGATTTTTCGGTGTTTCCCGATCAAAACCCTTCTACCCTCTGTGAACATGTTACGGACTACCTTAATTTCTGTTTTAACCAGTGTTGTTCACCAGAAACGCTCTTTATCCATAAAGACAGATACTCATCACCGCTACTCAAGCAGTTACGCAGGCGGAAAGAACAAGCCTACAAACAAGGACAAAAAATCCATGTCAAGCGGCTAACAATTT